AAACTGGGATGTCTTTTCAAGGTCTCTTAGGTTTCCCCAAAGCTTAGTTGTCAGTTCTACTGGGTGTTGCCATATGTCGCTCCGCAGCTCTGCCAGGAGAGGACGGTCTTGCAGGACATGTTCTGGAGTCTGTTCAGCACGAAGGCACTGACAGAGAGCTGTTTGGCTCATACCTAATTTATGTGAGTGTTTATTGAGTCTGCAGTGTCCAGTGCGTAAGCGAAAAACTGTGACTTGGTCTGTTCTGTTCAAGTGTTTCAGAAAATCTTTTCCGTAGTTATAACCAGTATTGGTTTTCCAATCTGTTTCTGATTTTCTCTTAATGAGAGTTTTGACTTCTGGAAAAGATAGTGGCTGGTAGGTCTGTAGTTTGTTACTGCCTTCCTTGGCTAAAGCATCTGCGCTTTCATTGCCTTTGATGCCACAGTGAGACGGAATCCACGGCAAGTGAATTTCTGCCTTATTTGACAACATAGCAATTTCCTGTGTTAGACTTACCTGGTGAAATCAGAAAGAGGGGGGGGGGGGAGAAGCTGGAGTTGGTTCTGCAGTATTCTGTAATGGACACACAAATAGTTTTTTTTTTTTAATCAGATCCTAGATTACCTACACATTTATTGGACTTTTAGAATTACAATTCTTTTTTTTTTTTTTTCTTCTTCTTCTTTGTTCACCAGCTGTAAACTCCGGCGAAAAGTCATGGTTGTTGGTCCATTTGTACCTGGCTTTGAGCCAGGACATGAGCTTTGCCTTTACATCCGGTTTACTGGTTAATTTGTGTGCAGTTAGTTGATCCCTGCCACTCGGGCAAATACACTCCTACTTCGAAAGAAGTTTTAAATTAGTTGACACCTACGACATACTGTACTTGTTTTCCCCCACAAAGGGGCCGCGGAAGGCACAGGCGGAGAGTTTCAATTCAGTCTTCAGTAGGATTTACATAAACCCATACAATAATGAAATGATGTCCTTAGCAGAAATGGTTGATGAGATGTAAAACGACTGTCGGGGGCTTCCCCTTGTGGCTTTCGGGGCCTCATGTTTGGGGAAAAGGAGGCCTCCATGGCGAAGTGGTCAAGCCATTTGCCTCGCGCTCGTGGGTTTCACGGCTCCGGCCTTCAGTTCATCATCATCATGTGCCCTGCCGACTGGCATAGGCGCTCGGGTGTCTCAACAGATCACGATCCCTGGTTGCCTGGAACAGCTCTCTTGGTGATATCCCTCCATGCCATTGTTTCAGCCCATCCAACATCATCTCTCTTGATCTTTCATAAAAGACACACACACAGACGTGTGCCTGTAACAAAATTTCTATCACGTAATATTTTTCAACTGTAGATCTCTTGGTCTGCCTCTACTCCTTTTCCCACTGATTTTTCCAGTTGTCACGATGTTCTCCATTGTCTCTCTTTTCATAATGTGGCCAAAGAACAGTGTTTGTCTCTTTCTTCTTGTTGTATATGGAGATCTACTTTCTTTAGCTTCTTTCGTTGTTAGTTACTCTGGCGGTCCAATGTATTCGTAACATTCGTCTCAGAAACCACATCTCTGTTGCTTCCAAATTCTTCCAAATTTGTTCACTGACATTCTAAGATTCGCTGCCATACAGCAGAACAGGTTCTATGTAACATTTAAGCACTCTCTTTCTGACATTCAATGAGAGCGATTTATTACCTGAAAGCCAAGGTAGTTTTTTTAAAGACCGGCTCGGGTCGGAATTGAATCTATGACTTGAATCCACAGACGAGCGTCTAACCCAGTGGGTCTCAACCTACCTATTGCTGCGGCCCTTTAATACAGTTCCTCGTGTTGTTGTGACCCCCAACCGTAAAATCACTTTTTTTTTCCCGTTGCTACTTCATAACTTCAGTGAATTTATGATTTATAATGGTCTTAGGCAACCCCTGTGAAAGGGTCTTTTGACCCCCAAAAGGGTCGCCACCCACATGTTGAGAACCGCTGGTCTAGCCGCTACCCCTTGGCGGCCCCGTAACTCTTCAGTACAGAACAGTATATATACTAGATCATACTTCTTTCTTTGACCTTTTCCCACGCCTTCATGCGTATTGGTTATATAGATTCAAACCTATATTTTATAGACATAACGGCACCTGGTGGGTGATGTGGTCAACATCACGCCGGCCGCATTTACTTCCCAGGACTTTACCTGGTACCCACTCAAGGCTGGGTCGACCTGGGAGCCTAGGTCTTTTTTTTAAAGTCTGGCTCCTGTCAGGACCCGAACCAACGACCTTCCGATCTACAGGCGAGTGTCTAGCTACTAGACCACGGAGGCTCCTACTAGACCATACTACATATCTTAATAAGCCATGTATGTGTGTGCTTATGTGTGGTGTGTGTGTGTGTATGTGTGTGTGGTATTCTGGTGGCTTCACATATATTCAACGCAGTAGATAACAATAAATGTCAAGGTCACATTGAGTGTTATTGTGTAGTAGTGTGTGTATGTATGTGTGTGTTTGTGTGTGTGTGTGTGTGTATGCATGTTTACAAGCTTGTCTAAATCTTCTTTCTTCTTTGTGTTCACCAGCTGTACACTCTGGCGGAAAGTTCTGGTTATTCGTCCACTACTGAACTGCAGTCATGCTCCAGAACCTGAGTGTTGCATGTGCATCAGTTTTACAGATCTGATTCAATTGAATGCAGACTGCTGGTTCCTTGCCTCTCAGGCAGATGCACTCCGACTTCAAAGGAAGCTCCCCAGTTAGTCGACTCTTACGACATGCTTTTGGGGAGGCAGTGGGTCTATTCTTGTTTTCCCCACAATAGGGCCCCGGAACCCACACGGGGGGCTTGTCTAAATGTTTACAAGCGTGTTCGATTGTAAAGGAGCTTGTGTAAAAATGTGCAAGGGTGTGCATAAGTGTATAAATGTGTGCGTGAGTGCGTGAGCGTGTGTGTGTGTGATGTGTGTGTGTGATTGTGTGTGATGTATGTGTGTGTGTGTGTATGTTAGATGAAAATATTTGTGATCTGACAAAGTCAAAGGTATCATAAGTAATGACTGAAGACGGCTCAGAAGATATGTTAGTTCGCGTCATACAGCACATTCATTCATTCATCGTCCAATCACATATGAGGCTTGCAGTCTATGACCTAACTGTGTTCTGATACGTGCAATCACTTTGGTAGCACCTATAGAATCTAGCCCAGCATCTTTGGCTTCTCTCATCAGGGTTGGCTTTAGAGTTCCTCTTGGATGTCCTTGATTCCGTAATGTCCTATTTCGCCTGAATGGTTACTAATTCGTTCCTGTATGGGACGCAGGTTTTTTTCTTCTTCTAAGATCCACCCCGGGTATTGCTGGGAGCCATAATATTAACTTTCCAGATGAATGGGGATTCTGGGACTTGCGACTGGGGGATTATCCTCCTAAATGTGACACTTTGTGTTACCTGATTTTAGTCGCTCGTTGCGCTATGCTGTAGGGGTTAAAGGTTACTTGCGACTTTTCTGTCACTATGCGTGTTTTCTCAGAAACTCGACTTTAGCCTTTTAACGCCCGGCTCTCTAGCGTAGTTGGCTAAACCGGAATGCGCGGTGACCGGGTGACGAGCTCTTTGTGGTCCAGGTTCATTCCCGGGGGTAGGCAGAAAAGCCATATTTTCTCCCAGATTTACGGTACCTATCATGAAATCAAGGCCGAAGGGTTGCGATATCTATAGAACCGAACCAAAGGGTTAATTAACAACTCATGGTTTCTGGATATAAAAACAAACAAACAAACAACCCTTTAACCCGATTGTCTATAATATAGCGCCATCTTCTCTGACTTGGAAATTGTTGATGATAATAGTGGCTGTCTAGATATTTATGTAACCCCCTTAAATTCATCCCATTTTACATTCATCATTTTCCTCATGGATTTGTTGTCCCAATGCATTTAACTTAGATTCCATGTCTCTAGAAGTTCTCCAACAATTACTGGAATGTGGGTTTTTTAGATACAACTAATGTACCGTCTCCTTTTGGCTACAGTGTATCACTGCTGTCTTTGGGAATTTTAAGTCACAAATCTTTTCAACGGTGTGACTCTTATACTAATTTCCGTAAACCACGAGAACGATTTTTTTAAACCATCTACAGCGGGGAAAGAATCTAAGTACTCCAAGATCATGAAATTGTTAACCGCATTCGCTAACCTCTATCCCAGAGGTTCTAAAACTTTTTTCTCCGCGGCACCCTTGTCGGCAAAGATTTTTTGCTTCACACCTATTCTTAAAGCGGGTTGAATGTTTAAAAAAAAAGTCAAAATTTACTGTTCAGTTGTCTTTAATGCGTTGACACAGACGATTTTAACCAAATTAGCTTTACATTCCTCATTCATTCAGCCTCTACATATTCGCTCTAGAAATACCTTCAGATCTGATTTGGAATGAAAAATTGCACGTTAATAACACACACACGCACGCATACACACACACACATAGGCTAACAGTTACCATTATACAGACCAAATCTTCCACCTCAAAATATTACTCAAAATGTAACAAAAACTTTACTTATTGACTGCATATCTATGAATTCAGGTAGAGGATCGGTCGCACCTCGAGATAAATACAAAGATAATTCTTAGCACGCTACGATTGACACTTAATACAATAAAAACACGACTGAGTGTAAAAAAAATATTAAACTCTCTGCAATAGTGACGAGAGAAGAACTTAAATTTTAACTTTAAATTATCAGCATGCTTTCTTTGGAAAACTGTTTAAAATTTCTAGCCGACTTTTCCTGATAGTTTCCGCTGCGCCCCTTGCATACTCTAACAGTACCCCTGGGTGCTGCGGCATCCAGTTTTAGAACCTCTGTTCTAAGCCACAGAACCAAAATGACATTTGTCAAATTCAGGGGAAAATCACTCCCAATTCAAAGAAAGATCACTCTCAATTCCAGGTTAATCCAAACGAGAATAGCAACAACACACAGACAACCGCTGTCGCAGGATAGGAACTTTTAACACAGCATAAGCCATAAGCATGTTTAGTAGCCAAGAATACTTGGATCGTAAAACCGGACCCTATGGAATCGGTCGACTGAGTTATCTTCAGTCCTTAGTGACAGAATTTCAGGATACATCTGATGAAGGTGATTGGTGATTTATTCAGATTTCGTAGAGATTTTACTCCTGTTGCCCCTTAATAACTTAATAATGCTTGCACGTCAGTGTGTCAGTGTCATGGCCGTTGAGCTAAGTAAAAGTAAAACTAAGTTTACTATTTACTCATAGGCCAAAATTCTGGGGCACGTCACTGGCCAGACTACCTGATCTGAACATCTAAACCTGGTCATCCAAAAGACTCACCTACAAACCGAAATCCAAACAAATTTTTCAAATATCCCTATTTATTTATGACAACAAATGTAATAAAGATTAAGTTCTCACTCACACATCCATGTTTTAGGGTATAAAAATCTGCACTTTTGCCTAGTTTACATTCATTATTTCTGGTTGTTTTTAAACCCCAGCATACCACCAACTTGCAAGGTCAGCTTTACTTTATAAAGGAAATGGTTGGGAGCTGTTATTAAATTATGTAAACCAAGAAGATGAAACATCATCGTGACATCGTCTTCATCATGCGGCTAAGCAAATAGTAATAGTATTCATGTTCCACCAAAGATGTTGCTGTTGGTATTCAGGATCTGTTCTGCTAATGAAATTCTTCCATACTAGTGTGTTATATTGTCCGGTACCATTTTCTTCTACTTCTTCGTATTCACCAGCTATAAAGTCCAACAGAAAATTCTTGTTGTTTGCCCACCTGTGGACTTTAATCGTGTTCTGGAATCTGAGTGTTGTGTGCACATCCATTTTACAGATCTGACCTATTTTTATGGAGATTGTTGGTTCCTTGCATCTCAGGCAGATGCACTCTGAATTTGAAGGGATGTACGTTTCACTTGTTCTGCCTCTTCTAGCACTTTCTAGACATTACAGTGTTTTCAGCACCTCACAACTCCTTACCTGACCAGAGAATAAAAGTTAGTTGCTTATCCTTTACAAGACCTTTTAAAACAAACTCCAGCATTTTGGTTCGGCTGTTGTGGTTTTTCTAGGCAAATTTACGTCTAGTTGTTTGCCATTGTTTTTTTTGACGGTCGGTTTCTTGATACCACTGTCGGAACCAACGCAGTGAGATTGGGGGGGGGGGGGGGGGGGGGGGGGGGGGGATCTTTTATCTTATGTATGCTCTCTTTCTAATGTATTGCAAAAGTTTGTCTTCATTTCTTTAACCTTTCTACCCCACAAGAGTCATTAAAAATGATCTTTTTCAAAATTTCATTAAAAAGAAATGCAACCTTTTAATTCTTGGAAACTCGACACTAACAAACAAAAAGAAGCAGCTTTCTAAAAATTGAGTGGATTGAATGCCAAGCAGACAGGCAGGAGTGAAGGACATAGCTTCTTCTTGGCCATCAAGTCACTAAAAACATTGATATATACATATATATATATATAGATATATTTTACCCACTTAAAGCACTAGATTTGGCATTAGTAATTTTTTTATATAAATAAAAATGATCTCCTGCTTTGAATGGAGCAAAAAATTAACTGCTTTTCTTCCCGTTAATCACGATAAATACAGTTTTGTTGACTCAGCCATGTGGAGCAAAGTGAATCATAAGAAGATTATAATGACATAACGATGTCATTTTTTTTCACACCAGATAATCTTAATATTTTTCTTCTTGTTAAATATAATCAAAATCCACCACTTCTACACACTGTGCAGTTACAAACAATGCTAAAGCTGTTGTACAGGTGCAGTGGCAACTGCTGAACAGTTTAATATCATCAGAAACGTGTAAATGCCAGAAAATAACCTTTCTCATGGTGACAAGGTCAAGGCTCTTCTTCCTGTAAATGCCAGAAAATCACCTTTTTCAGGGTGACAAGGTTAAGGCTCTTCTTCCTGTAAATGCCAGAAAATCACCTTTCTCGGGGTGACAAGGTTAAGGCTCTTCTTCCTGTAAATGCCAGAAAATCACCTTTCTCGGGGTGACAAGGTTAAGGCTCTTCTTCCTGTAAATGCCAGAAAATCACCTTTCTCGGGGTGACAGGGTTGAGACTCTTCTTGAGGTTGTTCCATTTTTCTTTTATTGTTTCCTCTTGCACTGTGTTCAGTGTATTTCTTAAGCCTGTATTTCTGTAGTAATTGGTACCAGGGATTCTTGTCAAAAGTCCAAACCATCTTATCTGTTGTTCTTTAACTCTTTGGGTTCCAGAGGGTTTAGCATCACAAAGACATTTCTGTGTAGGAATCTATAAACGTTCTTTGGGACTCAGAGTTATTGAACCTGTGTGACTGGTTTCAGTCCAAGTCTTCTTCTTCCAATACAATCCGGTCAACTTCTTATAATATGCAATTTTTCGTTGTTTGAAGCCCTACTCTGGCTCTTGCCAGGGGCTGCAATATAGCCCTACCATAAATATGGTTTAATGGCTGAACGCGGTTTCTGGGACCTCTCCATGGTGATCCTCATCCACATGGTGGCTTTTGTTTCATCGGATTTGTATCACTTGTGTGATGTCCTGGTGGGGTAAAAATCTACTACTACTACTTCTTCCAATCTCTTTTTACTCTGGCAGCTCTTCTATGAAATCTCCTCTCTGTAGTCATTCTGGATGCCCAAGGTATGTTGCAGTTCTGCAGCTCCAGGTTTTTTCTGATCTGTCTGTTCACATTTAAATATTTGCTAGGAGGCTGCAGAATAGTATCAGTATAATATTTCACAGCTCTCACCCATTCAATGAAAGTGACTTGAAGTGTGTGTGCTGGTGAGCAAGCTTTCACAAGAGAGAGAGAATATTGATTTTATAACGTGCTAAATAAACTGATATAATAAATATGGGTGTATGACAAGCATATTTGTTTTATAAGGGTGTATGACAAACACATTTGTTTTATTTCCTTTCTCCAGAAGCTAAAGAACAAGTTCTGGCCAATTTAGCAAATTTTGCCTATGATCCAATAAATTATCAACATTTCAAGAAGTTGAATGTGGTTGACCTGTTTTTGGGTAAGACGACTAACATTGATTACATCTTTTTCTTCCAGTTACCTCAATGAAGGGCTGTGGTGATATGTAAAGACCGTCTATGTTCTTTTTGATATGCAGTGTAGGCTGATCTTCATTTCTGTCAGGTCATTCCTGATGCTGTCACACCTAGAGAATGGAGTGTGGTAGAGCCTCTAAGAACACTGTCTATGGTGAATTACGGATGGGTAGAAGATGTTGAGGCCAGCATCTACTGCGATATAAAGATATGTGCAAGCAGGACATGAATGATACAGGTATTGAGGTAGATTCATGGGAACAAAATGCCATGGACGCTGTTGAGTGGAGGGTGCACATCAGGCAGGAAATAAGAATAAAGGAAGAAATAATTGCAGAAAAGTTGAGAGCTGTGCGCCTGAGAAGAAACATACTAAATACATATGATGACAACAATGGTCCTGAAATCCCATGCTGTAATTGTGAAAGACTTCTGAATGCAGGAGGGTCTTGCCAGTCACACTCGCCAGCACCATGGGCTGTGAGTCCCTCATGACAACTAACCAACTTTAGCATGTAGGCTTTACTAGGGTGACAGTTTCCTTTTTTGTCACTTCCTATTTTACTGCTTTGGATGTCGACAGAAATGCATTTTTTCCATTTTAAAAACTGATAGACCCCCAGAAGACTGGCTAACCCAGTAAACATATGCCTCAAAGAAAAAGGATGTGTCAGCCAAAAGACACAAAAATCCCACAACTCTGCTGTAAATGGACACAACAAAAATATTGCCACATCAAACAATACTGATACTGTGAGGAGGGGGGGGGGGAGTTATCATCTTCTTCCTTGAAACATTTGTCAAGACAAGACACACACCTGATGACAATCAAAGGCGGTGGAAAAAACTAGAAAAAATTTGTATCAAGATCAAATATACTGAGCCAAAGGCTTGATAGAACAGTGCAGTACAACTAATTTCACGGTGTTATAATAATGTATGCTATCATCATTATAAACCACTTCTGCCATTAAGCATTATGGCTGAGGAATAATTTGTAATCCAGTGCCAGATGGCTGTTGTCATGCCATGAAGGCATAAAGTGTCTATAATGTTGTCGATCCATATTTTAGTCCATCCTCTTACTTTTGTAGCTGATCTTCTGACATGTAATGCTGGCAATGGTATTTGATGTTTGCTGTAGTCTAAAAAGATGGCCAAACCACTTGATCTGCTATTTCTCTGTGAATCTAGTTCTATGTGTTGCTCCCACAATCTGTCTGATAGTACCATTATTGTACCGGTATTAATGTTGGTATGAATATAATGTACTCATAATTATGTTTGGATGTCTTGATAATGTTGACATTTGGTATGTAGGTGTACTTGCTTTTTGACCACTGGTTTCTGTTTCTCTGTCAATTCTGTTACATTCTGTGTTCACACTTGCTATGTATTTAAATTCCCTAACTTGTTTCAGGCCAGAACCATTCAGGTGTATGTGTAGTGAGCCAGGGTTCAACTGACTTGCATTGTTTTGGTTTTGTTTGTGTTGATCTTCATGTTGTATTAACTGCCTGCTAAACTGAACATGTTAATGATTTATTCTATATGCTGGGTAAATATGCTTTAATCTTAATTACTTGTATATATATATTTTGTTTCCCCCCAGATTGCCTGGAAGAGAACAATGAGAAGCTGATTGAGTTCGCAATAGGAGGATTATGTAACTGCTGTCTAGGTCAGAATGTTTACAGATTCATGTAACATGTTTCCTGTCTGGGATGAGGGGGTATAGACTATAGAAACACCCTTCCCCCCCCCCCTCAACCCAAAGCTTTCCACCAACAAGCATATTATAAAAGGCAACTAATTCTGGGTGGGTTTTTTTTCGAAGCTGGAGTACATCTGCCTGGCTGGTGCGGGACTAAAAGTCTGCATATGGATCAGCTACATCTGTCAAACATGCAAAACTCACTTTCTGGAACAAGACTAAAATTCAGAAGTGGATGAAAAACCAGAACTTACCACCGGTGAATGCAAAGAAGAAGAAGATGTAACAGGTAATTTTCAGAGCGTCACTGTATTACAGCCAATCAGAAAACCTGTCCCCTGCCTCATATATTTTCATGGCCATGGAGTGTTCAGTATTCTCTATCCACCTGCCATTTGTGCTGAAGTATTTATTATTACCATGTTTTCACTAGAAGAAGACTTAGTCATGTACAAAAATCTATATTTTTTATGTGTCCAACAGTATAAATTTATTTATAGAATTTAAATGAGTTTTATTGTTTATTTATACATTTATTATTTTTTATTAATCAGTACATCTATTGTTTACTTCAATGGATGACTAAAATCCACCTGTCTGGCCGATGATCTCAACTATGGCTTGTACTAGGGTAAGGCTTATATTAATAGCTTCTTTACAAAATCATGCTGGGCCTTTTATTCATTCTAGTTAGGTTTTTTTCTGTATAAGAGCTATATTTATTCCAAGTTAGGTCCTTTTCTGTATCTGAGGTATATTTATTCTAAGTTTGGTCTTTTTCTGTATCAGAGCTATATTTATTCTATATTAACTGTTGTGGGTTGGTTGTGTTTACTATCAAAACAGAGGGACATAATTAGCTCATTTTCTTAATGTCTCCTTCCTAGCTGACCATGAGGAGTGTGTCTCATCTCAGCTCATTAGCCTGTTGTCTTTATCGGTCAGCCTATGTGAATCTTGTATGCTTGACCGTTATCCAAAACAAGGTGTGACAGGAGAAATGAGACTATTCAGTGTTATGAATTATTTTTGCACAATGGAGAATACAAAATCAGACAAATGCTAGGAATAAAGCCAGTCTGACAGGTCATCAAAGTACAACATGTGAAGTGGTTTGGCACCTAACAAGAATGCCCTGGTACTATATGCCACAGCAAGCCACACTAAAACATTACAACAGGTATAGAGCGAGTGGAAGACCTAGGAAAATAGGGAGTGATGGCATTAAGAGCAGCCTTACAGAAATGAACATCAGTCTTAATAGCTCATCAACATATTTTACGCCCCCCCCCCCCCCCCCCCCCCACCACCACTGCGATGAGGTACAAGGTGGAAGAGAAGAAGAAGGAGGAAGAGGTTCTGTGCTAAAACTTTGCTTAACAGATACCAGATTGTAGCTCTATGTTGTGGTTTTCTGTATTTGTCTTGCACTTGGGTGATGGATATGTTAATCTTATTGCAGGTTTCAGCTAAACCATTCATCCATCTCTTTCTTTTTTATTTTCCTCATTTTCCTCCCAGATGTTCTAATGTAAAAGATCTCATATGCGGTTTGGTCTGGCATGCAGTTTGGTCTGACATGTAGTTTGGGCTTTGTCTGTCAATATAATTGAGACATGGTCTAATTCCAACTTTCCATTGCTGGTACTCATCACCATGTCTTTTCTTCTATTGTTAGTGACCTTATGGAGACAGTGCATTTCACAGGAAGCTATGTTCTGTTCTAATGCCCTTTTCATTGTCCATGTTTGGCACTGACAGCATAAAGTAGGGATGAAGATGCTATTAATTACTTTCTGTTTTGCTAGAAGGGAGACATTTGGGCATCTAAACACTGGAGCTAGCTGACAGGTGATTAAATTCTCAATTTCTTTATTATATTGGAATACTCCTAAAACTATCCTAGTGATTAAAATTTGTATCCAGTGTGTATTTTCTCTTATTTATCTACACAGACAAGGATTTCAAACAACATATCATCAACTCTGGAGGGATAGACCTTGTAATCAGATGTTTGTCAAGGTATGACTCTATTTGTTGTTGTTTGCGTTTACCGGCTGTAAACCCCGCCTCAGGATCCTGGTTGTTTGTCCAATTCTGTACTTTAATGTTCCAGGACCTGAGATTTCCTTGTGCATCCATTTTACAGATCTAGCTTATTTGTTCGCAGACTGTTGGTTGCTTGCCTCTCTGGCAGACGCACTCCGACTGCAAAGGAAGCTCCCCCAGTTAGTTGACTCCTAGGAGCATGCTTGTTGGGGAGGCAGTTCTTGTTATCCCCACAATGGGAAAAGAATCCACACAGCAAGGTTGTGTATTTGATATCTATTGTTTTATCATTATAAAGAAAGGAATGCAGGATTTTGCAAATAAATATTACAGAACGTTTCTGAGCATACAGGATTTAGAAGAGCTGTTCTGATCTGAACTTTGAAGGAAACGGACTCATAAACAGCATCATGATTAAAAAAAATGTTCTTGGGTCATTATCTTCTTCTTCGTTCACCTTCAATAGGGTGGTTGTCATGTTATGTTGTGGTTTACGACTATACTGTACTGTCCGCATCTTTTAGTCCAGCACATCAAATTTCATGAACCTCCACTTTTAGTTGCCTTTTACGACATGCTCGTTAAGGGGCCGCGGATCTTTTTTCCCCAGGTGGGACCCAGGAGACCAGCTTGGAAAGGACAGGGGAAATTACAAAGGATTGAGTCTTTTCAACGGGCTGTGGGGAGACTATCCTTATGCAGATTAAAAAAGATATAAAAACAAGTGAAGAAAAAAACCATTTGAACATCATGGGCATATTGTGCAAGACCAGTACATTTGTTGTAGACTAGTTGGCATGATTTTGGATGATGTTTTGAAGGTCATGCCAGCAGCCATCTTCACTTCCTAAAACGTGGTATCCATATTAGGCTGGCTTGACCTGAAAGCCGTACTTCTTTACACCATCATCACCCTGATAGAGCGGGCACTCTCTAGGGCGTCTGTGGTTTTAGTTAAAACATGGTCTTCCAGAGGATTCCTAATCCAGACATTCAGCTTGTATTTATGTTATGATTGTGCAGATCCGAGGAGCAGACAGTGATGTCCGCAGTGACCACACTCATGTATCTGTCCACACCGGAGTCAAAGCAAGGTAATGTCCCCTTTCATTCTCGCTGTCCCCTGTAACATACCACATGTCGTAGGCTGTTTCTTCATGTTTCCCCCAGGTCTCTGGATGGTGAGATCGGACGGCCGTGTGCTTTATTGCGCACTTAAAAATAAATCCCTTGGAGGCTGGAAATTAAAAAAAGAGTAGTCTAACGGCACTGCCCAGGCAAAATTTGGAGTTGAAAATCTGCCCAAAAGTATTTCAGGATCCTCGCTGGTGTTACAGAGCCTGTGCACTGTGCTGAGCTTCTTTGGATTCAGACTTGAGTTAGAAGAAGAACGCAGCACTTATGGGTTACTACCCGTGTGTCATGATGTTGATCCGTTGTACAAACCTAAAACCATTCAGTATTTGTGTAACTGGCTTTTATAAGTGTGTGTCCTTACCATTGTGAGTGTGATTGGCTGTTTCTTCAGGCATATCATTACCACCTCTTCCTATGTGGGTTCCAGGATGCCACCATGGGGACAAGGTAGATCCGCTGCCTCCCCAACAAGCATGTCATACGAGTCGACTAATTGAAGGCTTGCTTTGAAGGAACGAGAGGTGGATGAATAACCATAACTTTCTGCTAGAGTTTACAGCCGGTGAATGCAAAAGTAGAAAGAAGATTACATCACGTGTGATTGGCAGTTTTTCATGCACATCATGTGTGGTCACTGTCCGTCGTGTGGGTTTGGGTGAGGGGGGGGGGGGGGGGGGGGGGAATACTCACTGCCTCCCCAACAAGCATATAATACTAGGCGACTGATTAGCGAAGTTTCTTTCAGAGGGCATCTGCTTGAGAGGTGAGGAACCAACAGTCTGCACCCAAAAAAAAAATAAACAACCAGAGCTTTCTGCCAGAGTTTGGAGAAATTTACCATATGTTGCCACAGAAACACAGAAAAAAATTCCCAGATAAGTCGCTTCCCAGCCAAAATTTCAAAATCAAAATATTATTACTCTGAAATAGACCTCATGGCAAGAATAATTTGTGTATGATACGTACTTAGAGGTACTTGGTAGTGTGTGCCAAATGTAGAGATTCTCCTGATGTGTAGTCTTCTTCTTCTTCGTGTTCACCAGCTGTAAACTCCGACATAAATCTTTGGTCATTCATCCACTTCTGGACTCTAAACTTATTCCAGAACTTGAGTTTTGTTTGTACCTCTGTGAACTGACTAGTGACAGCGAGCTCTTACCTGTAACATAAAAGAATAGATTATAGAATTGCTTCATGTAAAAATGCACAACTTTATGCCAGGAGTGACCCGAGGGCAGGACTCACTAATCTCTCATCCATCCATCCCACATCACCCAGAGTAGCAGTTTGGCATGACCAGGTTTTTAGAAAGTCGTACTTTTTTTGAGAGAATGTAGAACAATATGTAAAATGTATCTGCAGTTTCTCTTTTATTTACTTTTACATTTTTCCCCCAAAGCCATTACAGTCTTGCCAGTTGTGGAATGTATGTTGCGTTTTTCTGAATGTGACAACAAACTTCTGGCCAATCTGGCACAAGTATTTCTACAGGTGAGACATATTTGTCATTTAATGTCATCAGTCATATTGTACCTGTCTCGTTGTTGAACACCTGTCTAGTTGTTGAACCCCTGTCTCGTTGTTGAACACCTGTCTTGTTGTTGAACACCTGTCTACTTGTTGAACCCCTGTCTCGTTGAACACCTGTCTCATTGTTGAACACCTGTCTACTTGTTGAACCCCTGTCTCGTCGTTGAACACCTGTCTCATTGTTGAACACCTGTCTCATTGTTGAACACCTGTCTACTTGTTGAACCCCTGTCTCTTCGTTAAACACCTGTCTAATTGTTGAACCCCTGTCTCGTTGTTGAACACCTGTCTAATTGTTGAACCCCTGTCTTGTTGTTGAACCCCTGTGTAGTTGTTTTGCATCTTCTTGTCAAAATGTAAGAAGCTTAGTTTGTTCTCCAAGAGCAGTTATGTGTAATTTGGTATAGCTGATCAACATTTGTTCACTGTGTCCAGCATGGATGGACTGAGTGGGTGTTTTTTTGGGAAGGGGGGGGGGGATATGCTATCATGTGTGCAGATGTATGCGTTTGTCATCTTGGATGAAACCCAGTTTTAAAAAAAGTAAAGATCCCTTTTTTACACATTAGGCGCATCAGGCATATGGGAAGAGCACCCATATTTTTTCAGACCATCGGCACTTAGTGGGTAATGTGGTCAGCATTACGCCAGCCGTCTTTACTTTACCAGGACATACATCCTGGTACCTATTTTAGGCTGGGTCGGCCTGCGATGCCCCATACCATGATAAAAATCCACGCAACCAGCAGTGGGTTTTAATTGCGGTACGTTGGAATTACAAGTCGGACTTGCAACCCCTAAGCCACAGAATAAAAGAGGGTGAAATTTAATTAGAAAAAAACTTGCCTTTGCTTCCATTTCAAAATCTTGCATTTTATTTATTTATAAAATAAAATTCCTAATATTTTAACTTAATATTATTTTTTTTTTTTAATATGCAGTAGACATGTAAAAATATATGCATTCCTCTTTATTATCTGCTTTCTTTCTGAAATCTGGTAGTGTATTTATATTGTGTAACTAACTATCACAAATGGACATAAAATGTGAAATCATTTCTGATTGCCTTGCAGGATTACTGTACTCCAGCACAGATCAGAGAAGCCAGGGATATCCAGAGGCAAATGGCTGGCCAGTTTTCAAACGTGGAAACTTGAGCCAAATTATGCGCCGGTTGAAAGGCCTGTTTTCTCTTGTCTAGATGCTTGCCTGAGAGTCTTCAGATGGAATTTCAATGTGGTGGATGTCAAATGATTGACCTTGACTCCCAGATCGATCCAGCTTTAAATGGATACAAGAAAATATCCTAGGAAGTAAAGATGGTAATTGTAATTAAAGTTTTTAATTCAAGAGGATAGACAGGTTTTATACCATGTGGCTTGGTGTTTCTGTGCAGAATGGCTAGCTGCCTGCCAAGAGTTTCGCACAGAGAACGAACACTGCAGCTGTGACAATGATCCTCAGGGGGTCTCCGTTAAAAATTGCACTTGTGCACTGAACAATTCAGCGGTGAAATGAACCCACAAAGGAGCTCGAGGCACTTTTGTGGCCAGTGTGATGTTGACCATCATTCCCATCAAGTGCCAGATGGTCTATATAAATATAGGTCTAGCATCATATACCTAATGTAGCACTGGCATGGAAAAGGGTCCTCTGCTTCTCTTGTCCACCAACTGTTGAAATGGTACAACCCCTGTGTGGGTTCTGGGGTCTGATTGTGGGGGAAACCATGAATAGACCCGCTGCCTGCCTAACAAAGATGTTGTAGGAGTTGACAAATAATAGGATTTCTTCTCAGTTAGAATGTATCTGCTCGTTCTAAGTTAGATGAAGAATGTATCTGTTCGTTCTAAGTTAGATTAAGAATGTATCTGCTCATTCTAAGTTAGATTAAGAATGTATTTGCTTGTTCTAAGTTAGATTAAGAATGTATCTGCTCGTTCTAAGTTAGATTAAGAATGTATCTGCTCGTTCTAAGTTAGATAAAGAATGTATCTGCTTGTTCTAAGTTAGATTGTATCTGCTCGTTCTAAGTTAGATTGTATTTGCTCGTTCTAAGTTAGATTAAGAATGTATTTGCTTGTTCTAAGTTAGTTTAAGAATGTATCTGCTCGTTCTAAGTTAGATTAAGAATGTATTTGCTCGTTCTAAGTTAGAATGTATCTGCTCGTTCTAAGTTAGATTGTATTTGCTCATTCTAAGTTAGATTAAGAATGTATCTGCTCGTTCTAAGTTAGATTGTATTTGCTCGTTCTAAGTTAGATTAAGAATGTATCTGCTCGTTCTAAGTTAGAATGTATCTGCTCGTTCTAAGTTAGAATGTATTTGCTCGTTCTAAGTTAGATGTATGCTCGCTTGTTCTAAGTTAGATAAGAATTATCTGCTTGTTCTAAGTTAGATTAAGAATGTATCTGCTTGTTCTAAGTTACATGAAGAATGTATTTGCTTGTTCCAAGTTAGATTAGGAATGTATCTGCTCGTTCTAAGTTAGATTAAGAATGTATTTGCTTGTTCTAAGTTAGATGAAGAATGTATCTGCTTGTTCTAAGTTAGATGAAGAATGTATCTGCTTGTTCTAAGTTAGATGAAGAATGTATCTGCTTGTTCTAAGTTAGATGAAGAATGTATCTGCTTGTTCTAAGTTAGATGAAGAATGTATCTGCTTGTTCTAAGTTAGATTAAGAATGTATTTGCTTGTTCTAAGTTAGATGAAGAATGTATCTGCTTGTTCTAAGTTAGATGAAGAATGTATCTGCTTGTTCTTAGTTAGATGAAGAATGTATTTGCTTGTTCTAAGTTAGATTAAGAATGTATTTGCTTGTTCTAAGTTAGATGAAGAATGTATCTGCTTGTTCTAAGTTAGATGAAGATTGTATTTGCTTGTTCTAAGTTAGATGAAGAATGTATTTGCTTGTTCTAAGTTAGATGAAGAATGTATTTGCTTGTTCTAAGTTAGATTAAGAATGTATCTGCTCGTTCTAAGTTAGATAAAGAATGTATCTGCTTGTTCTAAGTTAGATTGTATCTGCTCGTTCTAAGTTAGATTGTATTTGCTCGTTCTAAGTTAGATTAAGAATGTATTTGCTTGTTCTAAGTTAAGTTAGAATGTATCTGCTCGTTCTAAGTTAAGAATGTATCTGCTCGTTCTAAGTTAGATTAAGAATGTATTTGCTCGTTCTAAGTTAGAATGTATCTGCTCGTTCTAAGTTAGATTGTATTTGCTCATTCTAAGTTAGATTAAGAATGTATCTGCTCGTTCTAAGTTAGATTGTATTTGCTCGTTCTAATTTAGATTAAGAATGTATCTGCTCGTTCTAAGTTAGAATGTATCTGCTCGTTCTAAGTTAGAATGTATTTGCTCGTTCTAAGTTAGAATGTATCTGCTCGTTCTAAGTTAGATTAAGAATGTATCTGCTTGTTCTAAGTTACATGAAGAATGTATTTGCTTGTTCCAAGTTAGATTAAGAATGTATCTGCTTGTTCTAAGTTAGATTAAGAACGTATTTGCTCGTTCTAAGTTAGATTAAGAATGTATCTGCTCGTTCTAAGTTAGATTAAGAATGTATTTGCTTGTTCTAAGTTAGATGAAGAATGTATCTGCTTGTTCTAAGTTAGATGAAGAATGTATCTGCTTGTTCTAAGTTAGATGAAGAATGTATCTGCTTGTTCTAAGTTAGATTAAGAATGTATTTGCTTGTTCTAAGTTAGATGAAGAATGTATCTGCTTGTTCTAAGTTAGATGAAGAATGTATCTGCTTGTTCTAAGTTAGATTAAGAATGTATCTGCTTGTTCTAAGTTAGATGAAGAATGTATTTGCTTGTTCTAAGTTAGATGAAGAATGTATTTGCTTGTTCCAAGTTAGATTAAGAATGTATCTGCTTGTTCTAAGTTCTGCTTGTTCTAAGTTAGATTAAGAACGTATTTGCTCGTTCTAAGTTAGATTAAGAATGTATCTGCTCGTTCTAAGTTAGATTAAGAATGTATTTGCTTGTTCTAAGTTAGATGAAGAATGTATCTGCTTGTTCTAAGTTAGATGAAGAATGTATCTGCTTGTTCTAAGTTAGATTAAGAATGTATCTGCTTGTTCTAAGTTAGATGAAGAATGTATTTGCTTGTTCTAAGTTAGATGAAGAATGTATTTGCTTGTTCTAAGTTAGATTAAGAATGTATCTGCTTGTTCTAAGTTAGATGAAGATTGTATTTGCTTGTTCTAAGTTAGATGAAGAATGTATTTGCTTGTTCTAAGTTAGATGAAGAATGTATCTGCTTGTTCTAAGTTAGATGAAGATTGTATTTGCTTGTTCTAAGTTAGATGAAGAATGTATTTGCTTGTTCCAAGTTAGATTAAGAATGTATCTGCTTGTTCTAAGTTAGATTAAGAACGTATTTGCTCGTTCTAAGTTAGATTAAGAATGTATCTGCTCGTTCTAAGTTAGATTAAGAATGTATTTGCTTGTTCTAAGTTAGATGAAGAATGTATCTGCTTGTTCTAAGTTAGATGAAGAATGTATCTGCTTGTTCTAAGTTAGATGAAGAATGTATCTGCTTGTTCTAAGTTAGATTAAGAATGTATTTGCTTGTTCTAAGTTAGATTAAGAATGTATCTGCTTGTTCTAAGTTAGATGAAGAATGTATCTGCTTGTTCTAAGTTAGATTAAGAATGTATCTGCTCGTTCTAAGTTAGATTAAGAATGTATTTGCTCGTTCTAAGTTAGATTAAGAATGTATTTGCTCGTTCTAAGTTAGATTAAGAATGTATTTGCTCGTTCTAAGTTAGATGAAGAATGTATCTGCTTGTTCTAAGTTAGATGAAGATTGTATCTGCTTGTTCTAAGTTAGATGAAGAATGTATTTGCTTGTTCTAAGTTAGATGAAGAATGTATCTGCTTGTTCTAAGTTAGATGAAGAATGTATCTGCTTGTTCTAAGTTAGATGAAGAATGTATCTGCTTGTTCTAAGTTAGATGAAGAATGTATTTGCTTGTTCTAAGTTAGTTTAAGAATGTATCTGCTCGTTCTAAGTTAGATTAAGAATGTATTTGCTCGTTCTAAGTTAGAATGTATCTGCTCGTTCTAAGTTAGATTGTATTGCTTGCTTCTAAGTTAGATCTAAGAATTATGTATCTGCTTGTTCTAAGTTAGATTAAGAATGTATCTGCTCGTTCTAAGTTAGATTAAGAATGTATTTGCTCGTTCTAAGTTAGATTAAGAATGTATCTGCTCGTTCTAAGTTAGATGAAGAATGTATCTGCTTGTTCTAAGTTAGATGAAGAATGTATCTGCTTGTTCTAAGTTAGATTAAGAATGTATCTGCTTGTTCTAAGTTAGATTAAGAATGTATTTGCTTGTTCTAAGTTAGATTAAGAATGTATCTGCTTGTTCTAAGTTAGATTAAGAATGTATCTGCTTGTTCTAAGTTAGATGAAGAATGTATCTGCTTGTTCTAAGTTAGATGAAGAATGTATTTGCTTGTTCTAAGTTAGATGAAGAATGTATCTGCTTGTTCTAAGTTAGATGAAGAATGTATCTGCTTGTTCTAAGTTAGATGAAGAATGTATTTGCTTTTTCTAAGTTAGATTAAGAATGTATTTGCTTGTTCTAAGTTAGATGAAGAATGTATCTGCTTGTTCTAAGTTAGATGAAGATTGTATTTGCTTGTTCTAAGTTAGATGAAGATTGTATTTGCTTGTTCTAAGTTAGATGAAGAATGTATTTGCTTGTTCTAAGTTAGATGAAGAATGTATTTGCTTGTTCTAAGTTAGATTAAGAATGTATCTGCTTGTTCTAAGTTAGATTAAGAATGTATTTGCTTGTTCTAAGTTAGATTAAGAATGTATTTGCTTGTTCTAAGTTAGATGAAGAATGTATCTGCTTGTTCTAAGTTAGATGAAGATTGTATCTGCTTGTTCTAAGTTAGATGAAGAATGTATTTGCTTGTTCTAAGTTAGATGAAGAATGTATCTGCTTGTTCTAAGTTAGATTAAGAATGTATCTGCTTGTTCTAAGTTAGATTAAGAATGTATCTGCTTGTTCTAAGTTAGATTAAGAATGTATCTGCTTGTTCTAAGTTAGATTAAGAATGTATCTGCTTGTTCTAAGTTAGTTCTAAGAATGTATTTGCTTGAAGTTAGATAAGAATGTATCTGCTTGTTCTAAG